GGCCAAGCTCATCAGTAGCACTAAATGAGAGCAAGAAAGGGCTAAATTCCTGATCATTACTGACGCTGTCTCCTCGCATTTCTCATTTCATTATCCTCAATTAATCATGCATTCTAATTATCCACTGTAGTGGAATTTATTGATGAGTACCAAAATGATTATTTTAATGTTTTGTGTTGCATTGATAGCATAGCAACTGCCCAGAGGTGTGTTTTGTGTGTGTGTGCGCTCGCAGACTCATGTCATTTTGTTTGCCTGATTTGGGCCTATTTTTGCATCAGAGCAATGCATGAGGTATGATTACTACACATGTGACCATAATTAAAGAGTTTTAATCACTGACTCACTGCAGATTTACAGGCTCTGTATGATTTTGTGAGAGAACTGGACAATAGCAGTTGATAATTTAGTTGATCATCTCAAAGTAGAAACAGTATGGACTGATCTTAAGTCTGTTTGGCTCCATAATCATATTACACATGAACAATGTCATTTTAGTATTTGAATCAGAAAGAGAAAAAAAATCCATTCTGACTTTACGACGTAATATAGCTGTGTTACCAGAAAGGTGTGCATTTTGCAAAAATTATAATATTTATAATTATAATATCAAATAAAAAGATAAATAAAAATAAGATATAAAATAAAAATTAAATAATAATTTTCATAGTTGGTCTTTTGTTCATTTTTTATTTCTAAAAATATTTGTGTGTCATTCTAGTATTTAAATGAGAGAGAGGTAATATAATATGATATAATATACAACATAACATAATAATATGACAATATAATATAGATGTTTTATCAAAAATTTGTGCATTTTGCAAAAGAGCTACATTAGAAAATATGTATAATTATAAAATCAAAAAATATACAAAAAATATATTATATTATAGCAACTGCCCAGAATATATAAATTCATGGTTGTTCTTTTCTATTTTTTTTCTACAAATATGTCATATTTTCTATTAAACATGTTTAACAACATGCAGTAAAATATGAGATACACTATCGTTGTAAATACCAGGATAATTTTTCTTGAAGTAATTCTGCTTTGTTAGTTTTCTCGATTGATTTGAGAGATTCGGTGGAGTATTAATGAAAGTGCAGTTTATCAGGAAAATAGTTTTTCTTATTTTTTTTTCATGGCCTTTTGTCTCTAATAAATGATAATTGTCTTTGGTTGAGCATTCAGTAATATAATGACCTGAATTGCCATAAATCAAATAATGCAGGCGAGCGAGCTGCATTGCTTTCCCAGAATCACAGAGATGCCAACACGCAAATAACAAGAACTTTAACCATTAAAAATAATTGGTGCAGTAGTTATCTGCATTAGATTTATGTAACAAAGTGTTTACGAGATGGCCAGTTTGGCAATTTATTTGGTCAGGGTCAGCTGAGGGTTCTCCTCAGTAGGTAATGTGTCTGTGTGTATTTACGTGCGTTTTGTGCTTTCCTATATGTTTCCTATAGTATTTCCTATACTGTTTAAATAGAGTCCACAGCTCTGAGAGTGCTGCGTGTGTATTTCTACGCCTGCAGAGTGTGTGTATGTGTTTGTCAGGGGTTCTTCGGTAGAGGTGAGGGGTCCTGACAGCTCCCCAGCCTGCGTCCATCAGCGTGCTAATTTAATTATCCTAATTACCCCCCTCCCCATTCTTCCCCTCACGCTAGCTGTCTTGTCACAATGTCAGAGTGAGGACAATGTCAGAGGTCTGCTGTGCACTTCCTCTCTCTCTTTCTTACAATCTCTCTAATTATATCTGTATCTCTTTCATGGACCCCTATGGTTTGGCTATTACTTTGATTGTAAATGGTATAGAGTTCGTATTGAAGTTTGATAGTTAAGTTGTTGCTGCTGCTTTGTAATTGTTACTGTTAACAGTAGAGTATTTGCTAATACTATATTTGATTAGTGTATTTGCAAGTTATAACTGAAATGTACAATTATTTTTTTAAGTACCAGGTGTTCTGGGTCCTAAACCACCATTATATAACTTGAAAAAAGTATTAATATAAGGTTAATTTTGTTAAGATTAGTTAGATAACAAAAACTAGCATTTATTCTTCTAAGTGAATGTTAATTTCTTTATATACTAATACATGTTTAACTTTGAATTGAGTTGTATAAATGGCCATTAATTAAAATATTATGAATGAACCAGAATTAACAATGAACTATAATGTATTAACACACTATACCTTTCAAAAGCTTGGGGTCAGATTATTTATTTTTTATGTTGCTCACTAAGGCCACATTTATTTGATCAAAACTACAGTAATATTGTGAAATAATATTACGATTTAAAATGGCTGTCTTTCATTTTAATTAATTTTAAATTGTAATTTTTTCCTGTGATGCAAAGCTGAATTTTCAGCAGCCATTACTCCAATCTGTAGTGTCACATGATCGTTCAGAAATCATTCTGATATGCTGATTTGGTGCACACACACAAAAAAACAATCAAACAAAAAAAATCTTATTATTAATGCTAAAAACTGTACTGCTTAATGTTTTTATGGAAACTGTGTGTATGAGTGTGACTGCTTGTGTGTACATTTGTGATGGATAGCGAGTGAAATAAGCTGTCAGTGTGTCATAACTATCACTGTTACACTTGTGGCTTCAACTCCCTGCGTTCGGCATGTAAAATGGTTGTGTTTCATGTGGATACGAGTCTGTGTTTACACAAGTGTGTATTGTGCATCTTGTATAGCAGGTCTAATTACTGAACAGTAAGTGCAGGAGCCGTTTGACCTTTGTACAAGATTCCTGGCAGGTGGCTCATCTGCACCGCTCTTCTCCGACTCATTCGCTAATATTAATAACACACTGCTGCTAACCGCTCTGACAGCAGCCTAATAAACGTACCTGTGTCTTTATTTAGTCCGACTTACCTGTTCTGTCCATCCTTACTTTGCGCAATGTAGTCTCTTTTTCTCTTTCTTCATTTCTCTCTGGGGGTCGAGAATAAAGGTCAGTCTGTTGTGTCAGCTCAGCGTTTGGAAGAGAGGTCACAACCTGTGTTGCAGAGTCGGGGGTCCAAGTCTTTGTTCAGCAGGGTTCTCTGTTCTGTTGACCTCGACAAAGTATAATTGAGTGAATAAATAAACAGCAACATGGGCAGTAAATCAGAGAAAGGTAATGACAGTGGATTATTAGTGCAAACTGATGATTATCTGGTAGTACAAATCAACAGATATGTGCATAGATCATAATGGGAATGATATATATATATGTGTGTGTGTGTGTGTGTATACACACACACATATATATCAACAGAGCAAAATGTTCACTTCAGGGGAAATAAAATTAAATTTATATAAAAAATATTTTGCTCAAAAATTCATTTATTCACCCTCATGTTGTTCCATAACACAATAGACCTTTTTTCTTTATCTTTCATTTTTGTGTTAACTATTTAACCTTTAAATGTAATAAATTACTTACGGTTTTGACAAAACACACTGACAGAGATCCCTTGATATTTTCGTCTGATCAAATTATTCATTCATGGGGCTTTTTTTATTTTTAGTTTGCTTCTAAGAATTTATTTGGTACATGTGTTTCCATCATAGTTTATGCACATTTCTGCTTATTAAAGAAAAAGTTGTTTTATACACACATTATGGAAATCTTATTTAAATTGTAAAAAAAAAAAAAAAAGTACATTTATTTTAACAAAAAAAATAACAATTTCATTAATTGTATTGTTTCTATATATAATTTTTTGTTTGACATCCCCAAAATAATCAGATATTATCGATTGTATGCATGGATTGAAACCTGGCTATTGATATCCACCAACTGCAGCAGAATGTATTATAATGTAATAAAATGTATTATAACAGGATCATTTGCTATTTGCTGAAGCAAAAGCAGCATTTCCAATAACTACTGACAAGTGTCACTAATGTATTATACAGCTGGAAGTATTCTTAGTGGCTTTAATAGTAGCCTCGGTTCTCTAAATCTGTACAAAAAGAGTAGCTCCAGTGGGGTGAATGGACCTGCTCTGTGTTGGCTATGCTTCTGCTTCTCCTGTCTGCGGTGTTCAGGCCACCTGTCATAAATCTGATCAAACGGGAAATGTTTCCGGCAGGATAAATGGCTGCCTCTCACAGGGGAGCCAAGATTGATAGTCAAAGTTAAATTGTATTAGCTGTGCAGTTTAAATATTTAACCCAGTCTTATCATAACTGCTCTTAACACTTAAAGTAAAATACAGCAGGGGTGTCTGGAGAGGGTTCTGTGGACATATATCTCTCACCACCTCCATGCTCCTGCAGTGCTATTGTCCAATAATACTTAAATGGCTTGACTTATTACGAATGGTCATTATAAAGCTCTCTAGAAGATTCTGAGTGATAATAGAGTCACTGTTAAGTGTTTTCATTAAGGCCACTGTGGGGTTGCGAGCTGCATTGCTATTAACATAAAGGTAAATGACATAACGCTTATTTTTGTACAGATCTATTAATGTAAATTCTTATCTGTCTATAAATGCAACATGCACACAATGACTTGAATACAGTGTTTCTGTGTTGAGCATATTTATCATTTCTGAATTAAAAATAATTTTACATTTTTTGAGGGGCATAAAGTAAAAAATGTCAGGGTGATTAATTGCAACTGCCCAGATATCATAATGAAGAAAGAAAGCCGCATTAAAAAAAAGAAAAGAAAAAGAAAAAGAGAGTCATGCAGTGTGACCAAAAGTCTGGTGCAGCCAACATGCAGAAACATAATAAAACACACACAAAAAGGAAACGATATAATGAAGAGAACCCCTGCAGACCCTCACAAATGTGTAAAAAAAAGACAAAAAAACCCCCCGAACAAACAATATTAAAAAACAAAAATAAAAAGAGGGGGACAAAAAAATTTCCCCCAGTTTTTTAGTTTAGGTTGAAGCATCATGTGATATGACTCCCCAAAAATATAATATTTATTAATTTAAAATTCATTATATTTGTACAAGAAACCTTAAAAACATACTCCGATTGGTTTGTAGATTATTAAGATCTGTATTCACCCATTCAAAGTGTAAGAAAATTACTCCAATAATTAAATGTATTTTTATTTTTTTATTGATTACACCATGACTGGTTTCATTACATTTAAACTTTCCCTGAAAATGCTATAAAGGTTTTTCCAAACCATTTAAAATCAACATGAATAAAAAGATTGCATTTCTAAGAACTTGTTTTAACCTAGATTTTTAAAACGTATTTCCTTTTCTCTTTTGTGGACACTCGTATTTGTCATCGCCCCTTAACAGTTTTCGTCAGCGCTATTTGCTGCTTCTCTTTACTCTCTTTCCTTTCAAATGAGAGGAGATGCTCGTTTATGATTATAATTAGCCGATTAGTGTGGTAGCGTGTCACGACGAGTCTAAATAAACACAGCTGCACAGCGTTTCTGTCGGAGCGGCAGATGGGACAGGGAGAGCATGTGAGTATTGCATTGAGAGAATGTTTTAGCAGAGTAGCATGGCGTTTGCCCTTGGACAGGGCTCTCTCACCTGAAGGTAAATGTTTATGACGGAATCATCATTAAAACTCAGACGTTTAATAGGTCCAATTAAAACAATGACTTCATTTACAGCGGTATGAGGGCCGGCCCTATTTATTGGGAGCTGGAGTAATTGAGTTCTGGGCACTTGGACCCGTTAACTCCCTCCTGCCTCCTGAGAACCACTTCAGCTTAAAGGATTGAGGAAGTTTCTGAACACTAGAGGGCAGATGTTTGAGACTCAAGGGAAAACGAATCTAAACACTATTATGTTTAGAGGAGTGTTTAATCAGCGAATTTCAATTTTGCATTGACAGTTCACAACTTAAGAGTTACTGTTAAGTTCTGAGAGGGAATAAAAAGCCACTCTCTACTCTTCTTTCCCCCGCGCGTGTCTGTTTTAAGGGATTTATGAGTTAAAGAATGAGCTCTTCTCCGTAAGCTTCTCTCCACATGATGGGATCAATGTCGTTAGCCGCGAGATGACGAAGTGGTAGAACATCTCTCCGCGGGCCGGGTGCAGATTGCCACAAGGGCCGTCAACCGATCGATAGCGACAGAGGCGAGCGATTGACTGACGCCGCCCTTTTCTTGGCGCGGGCAGAGCATCGAGGGAAAAGAGAAATGAACGAGGGAGGGAAAATGTTGAAATAATGGGCCTTGGAGGCTTTGAGAGCAGGGCGAGTGCTGGCCTGTGGAGAACAGTGATGGGCGAATTAGGGGTGGCCTGGGTTAGCGATCATGAGGTGTAATGAAGTGGACTATTTTACCTGTCTGACTACAGACTGGACTGGGGTTGCGTTTACTGCAACAGGTTTTTTTTTTTTTTGCTGTAGGTTTCTCGATAATACATAGGCCTACATTTCACCTGACCTTTTCCACTTCTTTGTAATTTCAGTGGCTCAGAAAATAGTTGCGACCCGGAAGAAACAGCAGCTGTCAATCGGACCCTGTAAGTCACTGCCCAATTCTCCAAGCCACTCCTCCGTCTGCGCAGCGCCTGTGTCTGCAGTGCATATCGGCCAGGTGAGTCTGAAACACTTAAAACACAGTGAAAAATCTTTTAGCTTGTAATGTAGAGCCCATTTTTGTTTGTTCCCCAAATGCACCTCTTTGTCTCTACCCAAACAGTGCCCCCCACCCCCCGCAGATAGTAATCCTCTTCCGCATGGCTCAGTCCTCATTGATTTCTCATTAGCGGTGTACAAGTGAGCCTGTGTATGTGCAGCCAAGCTTAGAGAGGCTTAGAGAAGCTCTGAAAAACGGGAGATTATTTTCTTGCTTTTGTATGTGATTCTTGCTTTGTGTGTGTATTACAGACCAGTAATGGTGGAGGCAGTTTGAGCGATTACTCCTCTTCCGTACCCTCCACTCCCAGTACCAGTCAGAAGGAACTGCGTATCGATGTACCCCAAACCGCCAACACCCCTACGCCCGTCCGCAAACAGTCCAAACGACGTTCCAACCTCTTTACGGTCAGTCTGCTCTCCTGTTAGACATATAGGCATGATTGTAATTGTTAAATGGTGCAATAATGTTATAATTAAAATTACAAATATATATAATATAAATATATATATATATTTTTTTTTATTTTTTTTTTATTTTTTTTTAACGTACACTATCATAAGTTTGGGGGTCAGTATTTTTTTTAAAGAAATTATTTTTCTGCTAGGATGCATTAAATTGATTTTAAAAAATCTATATTTTAAATTTGATTTTAAAATATTTACATTTCAAATAAACACTGTTCTTTTGAACTTTTTATTCATCAAAGAATCCTGAAAAAATTAGTCACATTTCCACAAAAATATTAAGCAGCACAACTGTTGTCAACATAATAATAATAAGAAATGTTTCAACCAAATCAGAATATTAGAATGATTTCTCAAGAATCACATGACACTAAAGACAGGAGTAATGTTACAATTACATTTTAAAGAATGGTTCTAATAATGTTTCTCAGTATTACAGTTTTTAATGTATTTTCTCAAACTTTTGAATGAAAGTGTAATATAAATATATTGGTGATGCCTCGGTGAGCATCTGATGAGAACCTTTAAAAAAGTCTTACAGACCCCAAACTTTTGAATGATATGATAGTGTGAGTACATATGTGTGTGTATGTATGCATGTGTTTACAGTGTAGATAGATAGATAGATAGATAGATAGATAGATAAAGACTGTTGATCTTCTGGTCTTGTATGCTCTTTAGTAGTGCAGATGTACCACATGTCTTGCTTTTAAGAAGTTGTTGGTGGTGGGGTCACGTCAAGGTCAAGATCACCCCTCTCATACCCCCTTGACTTTTGAAGTCATGTGTGTGCCCTGCACTCCAAACTGGATCTAGTCTGAAGTCAGGCTCAATTAGCAGCTAGCTCGCCTTTGACTAAAATGATGTTTTCTCCCCCACAGTCTCGGAAGGGAAACGAACCAGACAGGGAGAAGAAAGGGATGGATGGCCGCGCAGACAGCATTGGAAGTGGCCGTGCTATCCCAATTAAACAGGTAGGGTCTGGCCGGCCGTCTGGACTGGTATAATTGGAGTCCAGCAGTGGCGTATTGTGGACGAAGGGCTTCAGATCAGTACTCAGACCCGCGCAAAGCCCGTTTGATGCCATCTCCTTGATTAACAGTGAAAGCACGCACTTGACATCAATTAGAGCCAGGCTCTCCCGTGTGCTGAAATGAGGTCATTAGGATAAGAAGTGGGAAGGGATTTTTCTCTCCTCAATGCACCCCTCCCAGCCAAAACCCCTACCCCATCTTACTCTCCCACCTTCTTTTTCCCTGTCAAAAGAGGGGATAGAAAAAAGCTAAGAGGAACCTAATGAAGTGCTGTCTACCAATCTGCATACGGGCCCATATTTCCCCATCAGCCCTCCCCGAAAAGCTTGGATTGGGTCATGAATAAGCGGTGTATGTGGGGAGAGGGGGAATGAGAAGCAGAATGTGATGTGAAGAAGACCCCCTCCATTGCACTGTGGGAGAGATTGTTTGACTTGGCCTTAATTTGTCACAAACAAGAATGCGTAGTGAGAGAGTAAAGGAGAGCGCTAGCTAGTGTGTGTGTGGGGGGGGGGAGGTCAGATCATTCTCGGCGCATCTCAGCTGGAGTGAAAGAATCAGGTAATTAGCGGCACTAATCGTGCCTCCTCATGTCAGCGCCATGGCCTTGTTTGTAATTTTCTAATGAACAAATTGCATCTCTGATTAAAGCTGCCTGTAAGTGAGATCTGTGTTTATTAGTGTGCCACAGTGGAGCAGCGCTTCTGTGACGTCCACCGTACAGCGCAGCTGGCGTTCAAGAGCGAAGCTGCAGATCTTTTGGATGTGCGGGCCGCGTTCGGAACCCGCTGGGTCCGCATTGAGAGGCTCCATAGGAGACAAAGAAATTTATACAAGACACCCGGGCAACGAAACAGCAGTGTAACTGGCCCTCTTTTCTGCAAATTAGATGTTGGAGAATACATTGCATCTTCGTTGGCATATATGTGGCATCGTAATGTTGAATTGCCTGCATAGTATTATCGTAATACAAATGTCAAACTATGAGCTATGAATCAATTAAATGACATCCAATTTTTATCATATCTATTAATTTAATTAATATATATATATAATAAAATGCAGCTCTTCTATGATTCTATCATTTTTTGTATTAAAATTCATTTAAATATTTTTGAAGGCATAAAGTTAAAAATGTCAGCATATTACTGTCCTGATATTATAATGATGAAAAAATAATTAAAATAATTCAGTTCTTGAAAAGAAAAAAGTAGTTTGGCATAATATTTTATTATTTCTTAAAAAAAAAACATATTTTAACAAAACTGCTCATAATATTTGAAAAACATTTGTCTGCAAAATTTGTGACATGCATGAAATAAACACTAAATAACATCATAGAGGACCCTCATGCCATAAGATATTTACACTCACATACTGTTCAAAAGGTTTTTTGTTTTTTTAAGAAATTTCTATTTTTTTTTCAGCAAGGATGCATTAAATTGATCAAAAGTAACAGTAAAGAAATTTATAATGTTACAAAATATTTGTATTTCAAATAATTGCTACTCTTTCAAACTTTCTAATGATCAAAGAATCCTGACAATAATATATCACAGTTTACACAAAACTATTTTTAAAAGGTAATGTGTTCGAGGTGTAAGGAAAAAGTTACTATATGAAATATAATTAATATGAAATTATGTTAACATTCACACAGTAATGAAAACGTTTTTCAAAACCGTATGAAACTGGCATGAATACAAAGAGTACATTTCAAGAACTTGGCACATGTGTTTTAAAATAGATTTTTAAAAGATTTTCTTTTATATGTCATACAATAGACTTCATAGCAAAATTTAAGGTAAGGCCATTTTCTGCATGCGTATAAACTTCTATAAATTTCTACTTTGTTTTATTTGAGAAAAAAGACATTTCATTTATGACACTATTGTTGTCAGATAGCTGATTTGTAAGGTAGAAACAATCTTGACAGCTCTTTTGGAGATTTTGGCCTTTTCAAGCAGATGTATGCCTATTGTTCCCCACATGGAAAATATAGCTGCCCAGGAGCTTTACCAAGATGGCCACTGAGTGAATTGCCCGAAAGGGACTTTGAAGGTACTTCTTTTTCGAGGCACACAAGCGATTGCTAATGCTGCCAGCAGTGATCTCTCACCTCCTGCGGCTCTATTTGCATAAATCCTGTTAAAATCAGTGGCGGTTAATGAAGAAGAAATGAGGCTGGCCCGGCTACAGCGGTGCTGAGAGCAGGGCACCGCGCTAGTGGCAGATGGGAAGGCTGAGCCGTGGCAGGCAGCTGTGCGGAGGGGAGAGCAGCATGCAGTTTTAACTATGATCTGACTCTCTTCCGACTGAGCTTGCGCTGCGCTAATTTGTATGTTCGATGCCAAGAGCGATCAAGACGATAACGCGTGTTCTCAAGAGAGAACAACCGTGTTCTATGACTTCATTCAGATAGACACGAGGCATGATTGTGATTTGAATTTGTAATATGTACTTAATTATAATAGAGAGTTCTCATTATGTGTGCTAGTTTTATAGGTATGTTAGAGAGCCTTCAGTATAGTGAGACATTAGTGGATGGAGAGTGTGTCGCACGGGGGGCCTGGCGCAGAGCCATATCTCTGAAGCATCTCTCAGCCTCTTGACACTGCAGGTACATTAATGAGGGATTAATTTCCTTGGTGTCAGACAGAACCTGCCCCACGCTTACTTGCACGCGCACACACTTATGCACACATTCGTGTGCTGATCAGAAGCCCCATCAGTGCCCGTGTCCCTCATCTCATGAGAAGATCAATCAGCCAGCACAATCAAAGCTCACCAGTCTCTGCAGTCCACAGTGTTTCAGTTTTCCCTGCTGTCCTCTCGCTCACTCGCTAGTGCTTTAGATTCATGCTGGTCCTTATTGTATCCCATTGGATGGCCCACACATACTTTTTTGTAGTTTCTTTGCTGACTTTTTGGGGAGAAAATTGGTAAAGTAACCAATTTAAATAAGACTGCCCATTTTGGGGGGGGAAATCATATTGCAGTTATTTTTTTCATATCTGCAACTGGGATTTGAACTGCGATATAATGACCGTTTACTGCTTCGATATCCAGGCAAAATAAAAAAAACCTCATGCAGTCACATTGTACCTGTACTTTAATGTGGACTCAAATCTCTTTTTAGTTTACTTTATATTGATCTTGGAACTTGTCTTAGCCTTCTTTTCATTTACTATTTTTTGGAACCCAATCAAGATGAATATAAAATTTTATATATATATATATGTATATATATATA